ATCTGTCACCATTAGTTTTTTTTTTTTTTTTTTTTTTCACTTTTCTCATGATTACAGTGATATTGTGTATGTTCCAGGCCTCTGATTTTTTTATTGGTTACGAAAAAAATGCGTCAAGCATTACACATACTTTTGTTCTATTTGTCATAGCCAGCATTTGCTCATCTGCTTTCGTCAGTGACCGCATTTTGCATCCATACGTCGCAGTGCTTTTAGTAGGATGGTGTTGAAGCGGCAGATAGGATCTTTCGAATAGTGGCATTTGAAGAAATGCCGTTTAATTGTTTTCTCAGATTGAAATTCAGAAGATAATACTGTTTTAGGAACAAATGTACAAAAAGAAATCGATGAGTTGAAGGCAACAGTGGAAGCGTTGGAAAACGAAAAAGCCGAAATGGTGGAAAAATTATCGGAAGCCAAGCAGCAAGGTGTTAAAGCAGTACGTTGCGAAGAGGAGGAAAAACGGCAAGACCTGATCAAGGAGATGGAGAGGAAAAGAGCGGAGGAACGCGAGGAAGATGAGCGTCGATTTCAGGAGCTGATTAAGAAAAATGTTCGTTCTTTTCGGCAAGTTGAGGCGAGATCCTTTCTTCCTTTTTTTTTTTGTACATACCTTTCCAGATTATCGAAACAGAACTGGGAAAGCTAAGGTGTTAAACTGTTATGGGTGGACTACTCGACTGCATAAGAAAAGCCACACTTTTGCAGCTAATTTTCATGCCACTTGCTGCCAAACCCGCGGTTAACGTTACAGCTTAAGTTTTTATCTGTTTTGAAATATAAGATTAATGAGAATGGGACTTTTAGTAGCGACATGTGAAGGTTTTGGCGCCAAAATTCATAATTCAGCAACCACAAAAGCTAGGAAACTGAGATTTTAGGAAAACATTTCCTGCCCACGTGCGTTCTTATAAATTTAAATTCGGTTTGGCATACGCGTAGAACTCAGGAGCAGACACGTGAAAATTTTGACGTTAGATAAACATACAAGCAAGCAGTGAGTGTTTCATACCGTTAGCTGTAAACACAGATAGAGCGTTAATTTGAGAACAACGAAGTTCATGAGTTTTGAGAAGTTGGTTTGGTGCGAAAGTACGAATTTATTAATTAATAAATTTTTAGCCTCTTTTTCCATGGCTTTCAATTCAAATCCAAATTTGTTTTTCGCTTTCCATACATTCTGACTTTTACATGTGGTTTTTCAGTGTAAAACGAAATTTTATGGCCTTATAATTTGTAAATCGTCGCATACTTGCTTTGATAGTCTAACCGGTTATTGTTCATCGTCGCGTTTTTGCTTATTTAAGCCATCCGGCCAATTTTCCATTTTTTTCCCCACTATTTGATCCTCTCTGATTTGCATAATTTCAAAAATAGGCATTCAAGTTTATTATTCCTTTGTGTTGGCAACTTGAATCGGGACCAGGACATGTTATACAACTTGAATCGAGGTATTCTACAATCCTGCAACCATCACCATGCTTTTTATGCGTTTTATGTTGTGTAACAGCAGTACAAAACGCATATTTTCACGGGGTTGTCTGTGTGTGTTTGTGTGCACGTCTGTGTTTGTCCGCAGCAACTTGTCCGTAACTTTCAACTCGGGAACCACAAAAGCTAGGAAGCTGAAAATTTA